ACACACATACACACACCCTCATTCAATAAAACACGGCCTTACGACAATTAGGACATAATATCCTTTCCACTGGAATGTCACCCATGGGGATTTATATTCTATAACAGTGAAGTGATTTGATTTTGTGAGCTACGCACATGTGTGTTGACATAAAATGAAATAGAGAAACTAATGCAATAAAGAAGCTATTTCTTTTGAAGTTCCTGCCTGTTTGGATTTGGCCGCTTCTTTTTCATCTCGGGGCAGCTGCGATGATAAGATGGAAAAGAAGAGCCATGTCTGAGGAATTCCTGAGCGGACCAAAGAGAGAACGCTGCGTCCTGATCGCATCTCGAAGAAATGTAAAGGCTAAAGGAACAATGAGCATTATAAAATGTAACCCAGGCAGGGACAGAGAGAGAAAGAGAGAGACAGAGCTGGAATTAAAAAAAAAAAAAGAAAAGATGACAGCTTGTGTTAAAAAGATGTAAATGTAATATGTTCATGCAGGAAGAGATGAGAGGAAATGTTGGATATATAGAAAAGCGCTGATGGGCAGATTTGCCTTTTCAATGAGTGAGGTTGGCCCAATTAGAGAGGCGGGTTACCAAGCAAGCCCGAGATCCTGGGCGTGCTTCGTGGCTGAAGTGCCATCTGATATTCTACAGGCACGGAATAGATCTTTTCATTCACACAGTCCACACATGTACACACTGTACCTTATGCAAGTTCTAGCAAGGCATGCTCATTTCCAAGCTTGCAGCTATGAGGCAAGCTTACCAGACCACATGCTAAATAATAAAACAAGGGTCGAACCAACATTTTCAACAACGCGTGCCATAAACTGGTCAGATATAATCTGTATAATAAACGGCCGCCACATTTGTGCTCATTCAATTAAAGCAAGACTTTTATTCATGCTAATTTGAGTTCAAACATGCCTGATCACACACTGAACCTCTGCCTCAGTAAACAGTAAGGGCAAAGGCACTGAAATAATTCACAACGGCTCGAATCGATCTATCTAGTCAGCACCTGGCTGCAGTGTCTCGCTCGTACCACAAGGTGGAAACGCTGCACCGGACGACGATGGAGAAGTCTGTTCTCGTACAACAAAAACTGAGCATTTTTCTGCATTTCAGAGGTCTGAAAATGTTTAATGGTTAGCTTCTTTATTTTCTAAATTTTAACAAAATTTTAAGACGTTTCTCCTCATGTCAAAGGTTTTAGACTTTTGTCTGCTCCAGTCTTAACAATGAACTTAAGTCACTGCAAAATGTCCAGTGAACATATTATGCCTTTTTGTACTTTTTCGGCTAAAGGAGGCTTTAACCAAAACTCTATTTTTTTTTTTTTACAATAAAACAGTACAGAGTAATATTATTAGAGGCATAGTAATTAATGTAAGATAAGAAAAGAGAATCAATTTAAAATAAGTGTAATGTTGTAATGTAATGTTGCTGTAATGTTTTTGTTTTTAGCGAGTCGTTAATATTTCTGGAAAAAACTGGCAACAGAACCGATCAAAACAAAACAAAAAGTAAAACACTACGTGTGATTCTTCATTTTATGGTTAAAAATGATTAAATTACCAACTTCAAACCCGGCGGCGGAACAGAAACGGTACAGAAACCACTACAACTGTGTCAAAAATTTCAGTCAGGCCGCAGGTGATTTTTCTTTTTTTCCTCCACCGCCTTGTATCTGACAATCATCAGAGGAGGAAATGTCACAGAGCAAAGCACTCGCAGTCATTCAACCCACTCTTCTTCCAGCTGACATAATGTTACTGTCATAACCAAATGAGGGGCTGGGAGGACATTACGCAGCTTTGCTTCACTGGGGGAAGTCCAATCCAAATTCTGACTCCCGCAGAATGCCTGCACCCACCGAGCCCACTGAGACTGGACCGGCGGGACGAAAGCTGGGAACGCCGCGGATTAACTGGAGGAGCTCCTGCATGACTCAGTGGAACCAGGTGTTCCAGTGATAACACAGGAGTTGGGGATTGTCGATGAAAGCGGCTGATGTCATAAGATTTCTTGAGAACACAAGTATGCGGGGTCTCTGCTACTCTGTCTGATAGAGTCCAATTTTTCTCAATACCCCAGATGTAGAGGTGGGGATTTCAACACAACTCTGAATCCAGCATTAGAGAGACCAAACTATTCAAATAAGACATGTAACTCTAAACAGTCAGGCAGAGTGAAAAACTCATGATGGACTCTGGTTTCGCTGGTGCCAGAAACACCCAAATCCATGAGGAATACATCATTATTTAGTGACTCTGCCTTAAAGATTTATTAAACAGCGGACATCCTTCATCAAGACAGAGACCAGAAATCACACGACCACGACGAGGAAAATTGGCAAAGCGGTATTACTAGGAAAATTAAAGCGTACTCTACAAATGATAGGTTTGGGAATAGGTAGGGAAAAAAATACTTTGAAGCTGCAGCAAATGATTTTCCCGAATCCAACCGTCAGTTTTGTTAGCCGCACGTTTCACAGCAGTCCCGAACAACAGGACGGCCGTTTCTGAACGACGGCGGAGACGGATCGCTCGCTTGAACACGGACTTGGGCGGCAAAGAATTATGCTCAGGGTCCTTCGCCATAAATAAGATTCATTAAGACGCAGATGAATGCACATTTCATATTATCGCAGCATTTCCTCCGCAGGGCACTTTCTGAACGAATCAATACTGGTCTCGGCGGTCATTAGAGCACTGATGGATCAGAGCCGGGCTGGCCTTTTAATGGGACGATTTTCCATCAACACGACTCCGGATCGCTCTTATTCATCATAATAGGTAAGGACATGGATATGTGGAAATCTCTGCTTCCCCGCCGCGTCGTTTAGTTGACGGATGGCAAATATGGCCTGTCACTCCGCTACATAGTCACTCATCTGTTTAAGAGAAGACCCGTCCAACAAGGTCTCCCCTTCATTAATCCTGCCCTCATTCACACTTAAAGAAAAGAGGCCTCGTGAAATCATAAGTGACCTTGGGGACGAAGTACCTCTCTGCTGTCGGAGAGAGGCGCACATCTTTAAGCTCTTCTCTTTGCCACGCCGGGTGAGTGAAATCAGGAAAGAAAACAGACCATGAGAGATAAATACCGCCGGTGTCTTCTTGGAAACGTATCGCCGTGACAGGCGACACTGACAGATAGAAGTTGGCAAGCAGATTTTCTCCTCTGCCCCAAAGACATTCATCTCCCCCCCCCAATCAGTTCCTGCATGGATTAAATAGTAAAAAGATGTGAGCCAGATGCTGGGCTCTCTGCTGACTACACTTAGTTACTCAACACTGCCACTGAGTCACTCATTTTATCTGGCAACATAATCTTTTCTTACAATAAATCTCATCTCACAGGAGAAACGTCAAACGCCGAGGGTGAAATGAACTAAAAACAAACACTCCTGTATGTAACGCTTCTGTATTAAATACCGACTTGATTAAGCGATAAATAAGTAAGACTGTTGCTTAAGTTAAAGAAAAAAAAAAGATGAATAAACACAAAGTGTTAAATAAATATCTTGCTCTAAAGCGTCTAAATTAGTGCTCAATCAAAATTGGAAAGGAGTCAGGAAATTTGTAAAGTGATGAAACACTGCCACCTGGAGGGACTCGAAGTGATTCGAATGAGCGTTTAAGGGCCATCTGTTGTTTCGAGGGTCATAAATTGCTAAAATATAAGGTTACAAGAGATCATTCACCATCAATCCTTATTTCAGATCAGAACCAGCTTTGTTGGCCAAGGCTGTGAGCACGAACAAGGAGTCTGACTTTGGTTTCAAGAGCTCACAGAGTACAGACATCAATTACAAACGAATAAGCTTTGGAAAAACAAAAGAGGATAAACGAAACAACATGCGCCTGTCATGCGTGTATCTACAATCGTTTTTTATAGAAATAGGAAAAAAAAAAAAAAACATGAAGCAAGGTTGAGGTTATTTTGTTGTCACAGAGGAGTTTCTGAGGTTCTCAGTGGTTGAAATGTGATTTTTATAAACTATAATTTACAACTTACGCAAAGTGCTTAACAATTGATTCACTCAAGGGTTTTGATACAGATAGAAATAGAACCCTAACATATTTTATTGAGATATAAAGTGAGAGACTAACAAAAAGCAGAGCATAGTGACGAAGTGAAAGGTAAAATGTTCAAAACATTTCTCTGATTTATTTTTTTTTTTATGGTGAACCATTTTCCTTCCACTTGATGTCTCTGACTTGTGGTCTGTCACATACAATCCTAATAAAATACGTCTGAATAAAACACATTAATGTTTAGGGGTTATGAGTACCTAAGTTGGATGCTGTAATGTTGATTTTGACTTGGTCTTTGACAACACCTTTTTTTTTTTTAAAGTTCACGCTAATCTTACTGCTTTGTTTGCAATAAAAGGTTCACTTACAGGAAACAAGAAAGAAAAAAAAAGAAACGGGGAAAGAAGGAAGGAAACAGAGAAATAAACAATTCTGAGTTCATTCATTATTCCTGCACATTCTGTACTTATTATTCCCATTTAAAACTTTTTTCAAGCATAAAAATTATATATATATATTTTTTTTTTTCCAAAGGTAAAGAAGAGTTTGGTTTGAGACGCTTTCGTTACAGTCACAGAACAGGCTTTGATTCTGAAACGACGACGACCGACACAGGGCTGCAGCTGTTGAAGATTTTACTAATCTTGTACGCTGCGGACTAATCCATTAATCCATCAATTCATACATCAGACAACAATCAGATTTTGAAGCCCAGCTCAGACGGTGCTACAAATCCTAGTTCAATCTACAGTCAAGACAGAAATATTGTCTTTTCATTTCTGGAAACGTTTGTGCATTCACGGAATATTTCCTTTCCAATAAAACTGATAATAATAATAATAATAATAATAATAATAAAACACTCCATAAATAGCCACCTTATTCTTAGGTGTCGTGGTCAACAGAAGAGTAAAAAGTACACAGTCCCACCTTTTTTCACCAGAGTTGGGTTGAAGGTGCTCACCTTTGGTTAATCATCCCTCTGAAGTTGTAATTAGCTCTGTAGTTGGGGATGGGTTTGGGATCCAGGGGTCTGTATATAGCTGGCTCCCCTCTCTTCATGGCCAGACCGTTCAGCTCCACGGTGGGCGTTATGCTGCCTGTGACGGTCAGAGGAGATTAAAACGAGAAAAGTCAACCGTGGTGTTTATAAGAGTAAACCACTAAATCCACTTCAGAGAAGGAGACAGATGAGGTATGATGGACAGTACGCACAATTGTCAATAAAGCTAAGAAAGCTAATAGTTAAGAACCAATAACTTTTATTTCAGTGCCTTGCAAAAGCATCCATACCCGTTTAACTTGATATATTTTCGGGTTACAAACACAAATTTAAAATGCGTTTTAGTGGGATTTTGTATGATAGACTAATAGAGAGTAGAACATAATTGCAAAGTGGAGAGAGAATCATGCTGGGGATTTTTTATTTATTTATTTATTTATTTATTTTTTTACAAATGAAACGTATTTACTGCACTTACATTTGCGAGTCTTTTTTCTTTTTTTGCAATGTCAGCATCAGTGATGGACTTTGTCCTCGTTCTTCACTGCAAATTAGTTCAAGCTCAGTCAGGCTGGATGTCTCTTATCTTAAAAGCGATTTTCTGGTCTTGCCACGAATTCTCAAATGTGTGTTTGGTGTCGTCGTCGTCAAAACCATCCCGATCTCACATCTGCCACCACCGTCTGCTGCGATGTTCGGGGCGACGTGCAGAGTTACTTTTCAGCCACACTTGGGGTTTTTCCATCAAGACTGAGATTTAAATTGTGGTTTGTTGCCCAACATTGTTTGTGCCAAACTGTGAATAATATTACAGTCATATGGACTTTGCAAAAAAAAAAAAAACATCCATCGCTTAAACACGCCTATGCTGGCAGAGACATGTAAAATCCCATGTTTGCCTATCTAGGTAAACTCCCAATGAGAAACTCTGAAGTTTGTGGTTGCGGCATGAGTAACTGTGAATATTTTTTTCAAAGCACTGTGCAAGTGTGCACATACGTGTCCACCGACTAATTATTATGAGTTGATAAAATCCAAAGACTGACTGGTATTTTTTTTTTTTGGGCTACCTGGGTTGCTGTTGACGTCGACTTTAGGCGAGCGGGGCGCGGGCCTGGGCAGGACGCTCTCGGCCAGCGCTTTGGCAGCAGTGGAGTGCTGGGCCTTCTTAATGCTGGTGCCCTCCGCCTCCCACACCTGCTCCCCGAGGGTCAGCTGCACCGTGAAGATCTGAAACAGCGACACCCAGAGGACAAACCAGCACATTACAGACCCAAGCAACTGGAATTGCCTTTCAAGAAACACACGCTCCTTCGTGATGCCTTTTAATATTAGAACACATGGGAAAAATTTTTTTTTTTCCCCCAAAAGAAAAACTGATGAATATTTTACCTTAGCGTGTGCAGGGCCTCTCTCATTGAGGAGCTTGTACTGTGGCTGGATCCTGTTGAAACGGGCTAACTCATTCACCAAGCACATTGGAGTTTTCTCTTTAGGGTTTGCCATGTCCTCCTGGGGCGAGCCTTGAACACACAGCAGCCAAACGCACTCTTACCGAGGACAGAGCTACAGTTTTTGCACCGTTCAGACGAATCATGCTTCATTTGTGTAGAAAACTCTTTAACGTCGGAGAGTCATCGGTTTATTGCTTAGAAAATCATCAGGAAGTGAATTTAATTTGATATTTTAATTCACAAAAGTTGATCTAATATATTTTATGGATTCGTTGCACACAGGGTGACACATTTTGGTAATTTCTTTCAGTTTCTTCCATTTTCTTTTTTTTTTCAGGCAAAGATGTTATTCTACATGTGCTGAACAGTATGTGCACTTTAATACTTTTGATCAGGGCGTGAATCCGCGAAGGCACTTTTGGGTTTGGTGACACAGTCGTCTCATGCAGTTTTTCTACCACATTTTTTTTTCTTCCACTTAACTTTCCATCAACACTCTAAACAACCAGAAGTGAATTGTTGAGACAAACGTCTCAGTTGCATTCGGATTGATTTAGATTCGTCTATTGTTGCAAACTGCAGGTTCAGCTTTTCATTGAAGCATAATAAACGCAAAACATTAACAAATACAACAGTACAATCTTTGTCCAGAGTTAAAAAAATAAAAATAAAAATCTGTTTGGGAAGATTCCACATAGTCACTATAATGACTTGATGATCATAAACAGAAGATGGCGGCGCTGTTCTGTCATCATACCTGGTGGTGTGGCAGACACAGGAACGTCCCCATATCCGACTGCAGGAGCAGGGCAGGCGGGTGTGGGGGCCGGGCCTGTGCCGTTGACAGAGGGCTGCAGACCCAGGGGTCCTGGGCTGGCCATGGCCGTCGGAGAAACTCCAGGGGAGAGGCCAGGACCAGCCAGGGGCGCTGCGGTCTGTACTTTCACTTGAGCCATGCTCTATTCCTGGAGGAGAACAACGACAATTGCACAGAGAATCGAAACATTGTCATTCATTTTGCAGCCTGAAAACTAAGCTGGAATTTGTTCCACGCACACACACACATTTTCAAAAATCTGAAATCCGTGTAGGATATTTTAGAACGTTTCTGTGCTCGGAGCCTGGAGAACCGACTCCTAATGGAGCCGTTCTCCCTCTCTCACATTCTGATCCACCGGCAGCTAATAGACACAAACAATGAATCTTTATTCCAAGGAGCTTTACTCATGTTACTGCTGCCAATGGCGAAAAGGGAGCCAGCCTGTGAAAGCGGCCCGAGCGAGACAATGGACATTGAATTACAATTTGTTTTTCAGGAGGAACAAAGCATGAAGAACTATATTCAGGTTTCAGCGGTCGATCTTAACCGTGGGCCAGATGCAAATATGTTGGTCCCGTAAAGTTCTAGTCAGAAGTTTACATTGTTTGTGGCCGTGATTGTCGTGCAATCAATTACTTCATTGGATATTTTTAAGGTGAACTGGTAACAAAGACAAGATTTTGGTGCATAAGTCTGAATTTGTTGTGGATTTGAATTGTTTTAAGGTAGTCCTTCAATTTCCCGTCTACTTTGTGCAATGCAGTGCGGCAGCATTATCCGATAGCTATAGTGCAAAATTGAGTCGAGCGTCAAGGTGTCAATTTCAGAGAAGGGGTTTATATTTTGTTTGAAACACTCACAGTAAATGGAAAACTTTCAAAAACTGTGACAAGTGGCATTAGTATTCAGTTATTTATTTTTTTATAGAGCCTCTGTAATAAGAGGGTTTTTCTGAGCATGCTAACCACGTTCCGTTTTCACAAAGGCTGGTATTTTAAATCGGATCGGCCCCAACAGGACGATGATCCCAAACGCATCAGAACCAGCTAAAACCAGCAGCCTTCTGGTCTTAACAAATCAAAGACCTAAACAGACGGCGTCCAGGCAAACACTCGAGATAATCAGGATCACATCTGCAACGCTCGTCTTTATTGAACTGTAGAAAAACAGCAGAGGGGAGACTGAGACCTAACAAGTTAATTTACACATTTTAATGATTTTTTTATTTTTATCTCGCTGTTTTCCTCCTTTAGAAGACCGAGTTACACAGCTAGGAGTATGTCCGTACAGAGCACCGAGGCAGTGAAAGCCATAAAGTTGGAAATCCCAACGTAGATTTTGCTAATACTTTGCCTGCAACCCGTTATGTAGACGTGACATGATTTTGTAGTGTGTGCTGTTTAACCAACCAACGGTGAAGATTGAGTAAATGATGCCGCAGTACCTGCTTTCAGCTAAATGGATCAGTTTCTTACTATGTAAAAAAAAAAAAACAGCGTTGGATGAAGCACGAGTCTATCAGGACAGGTTTACAAACCAACTGGCTGTAAGCATAAGGGAGACCTTTTAAATGATAATGTTTAAAATTTAACACAAATTGCACTTTTGAATGAGCCGGGCTCACATTTCATGCTCATTGTAGCTGTTTATAGGTAGCTTAATGAGCAACAGGCTTATTTCCTGTGCTTGTTTTGAATATTCCTCTCTCCCCCTCTCTTGGAACGCCCAAATATAATTCTACTTAAGGTTTCAAACATGTTGGGGCGGCCCTGAAACGTTGCCACTTGCATGGTCATATTTTCAGACATCAATAACTTCTTTTGTTTTTAATCAAGTGCTAGTGGTCCATATATACCTCTTTCAAAATTTATTTTGTTTCAGTTTTTTGTCACACTTACATATTTCAGACCACCAGGAAAACCTTAAAATCAGACAAAGACAAACTGAGAACATAGAAAAAACTGTTTTCAAACAATAGCTTAATGTAATAATCCAAAATAACATGACAAAGTACCACCACCTCCCCTTGCTAAATCATAAATTAACAGGAAATTAACCCCCTTTTCTTTGGAAAGCTGAGTTTAACTTCCACTTAAATTAAAGAATTCATTAAACAGACTCTATAATAACATTAAGACTATAACATATAAAAATAAAACTTCATCTGTCATTCAAAACAAATTCAAAAGCAGATGAGCAATTACCAGCAATCAATGTGAAAAGTGTTGCAAAGCCGTTGGGGATCCAGCAAACCAAAAAGTTCAGCTCTGTAGAGTACAGTAGGGTCTGAAGTGGCCTAGTCCAAGACTAGACTTTTTGATTCTCCAAACAATTCTCCAGATAAGTTTTTTTTATGAATGCTACTTTATTCCTGATGACATTTTAATACGTTTCCCTTCTTATTTTGTTCTTCTTTAATTTTGTTGCTTTGTTTGTATAAGTTGTGAAAGACTGGCTGTTTGTAAAAGCGTCAAACTTATTTTGATTTGAAAGTCGAGATAAGTTTGACATTCAAATCTTTGTGATCAAAATTGGTTTGATGATCTGCAACGTTTGTGTGACAAAAAAAAAGAAGAAATCTTTAAGGAGGCAAACAGGACTGCAGTGTAACGATGCATGACACACCGTTTAAGATCATGTACTTAATGCTTAATTTGAGAAACAGCAAAGCAAACAGTTTGTAAACTGATTTATTGAGAGCTCAGTCAGTTCTTTGAATTAAAAAAAAATCAGGTAAAGTATATATTCCCAGAGTTAAGAGTAGAGGGAAAACAAAGTCTAAACCTGTTAATCTCTTGGTTGAGGAATTAAGCACTACAGCTTGCATGTTTTCTTTCGTTTATGTATAACAAGTGTCACCTGTCCATACAGATCATGGCTGGAATAATGTAAACAACACTGCACTTCGAGGCAGAACACATGCATCTTTGACTCAGCAGCAGCTCATTGAAGTTCATGTATTTACATTTTTCCTGCAAACAGCGCTTGTGTGTCCAGTCTGCCCCTGGTGCTCTGGAAGGGGAGGAGGGGGCCCGGTTACAATGTCTTATGCTCCAACTCTCACCAACTCACGCATTACTGAAACAGCGAGCTATCGGGGTTTATCACTGTGTGCCACTGCAAACTGAAGGCATAAAAAAGAAAGAGAAGAGGTGGTGTAGCGTTAGAGCCTGACTGGCTGTCTGCAACCTATACATCCCAGCTACTGCACAGCTTAGCAAGGAAGCTAACGATACCAAGAGGAAAACAGCGTTTCCTCTAAATGTCAGTCCCTGAAGACGGAGTTGCAGATTGACCAAAGGCGCATACTGTCATGAGTGTGTCGCTGTGGGTTACCTTAAACGGCAAAAAGAAAAAAAATTTAATCAGACGACCTCCGGTTAGGCTCGCTTAGCCGGTGGAGGTTCATCATGGCTGATCGGCCGAGAACACCCCTCTCTCTTTGCTAGCATCTCCACACCGCCCCATCTTCCACGAAAAGTCGTGGAAAATTCAGCCTGACCTAACAACACGCACGGACCGAGAACGACGTGGCAAACCCTCCCGTGACTACCTCACAATGACGGGACAAACATTTAGAGGCAACATTTTTTTTTTTTTCTTTCTTTTACCTTTGTCCAGGGCCAGACCCCAGTTACACCTCCAACATTGGCAAACACTAAAGAGAACTGGATGGAAGAAGGGAACGCACCATCTTTTTGGTCCGGGATAAACATGACAAAATACGTCTTGTTGGAAGGAAGCAACCCACGAAAGGGGATATTTTAGGCAGTAACTGCAGTTTTGGTCATTTCAGCGTAACCATAATGTGAAAAGCGAGATACGACAAGCACTAGAGGTTAAGGTGCGTGTTGAATGAATCGGCGACCCCCCGCCATGAGAAAAGTGGTTCAGTCCAGGTTTTGCTACCTCAAAGCTACAAGTTAACTTTTGATTCAAATCCATGTCCAGCGGTCCTAAAAAGGCCGTCTGCAAACAAGTCGTTTCAAAATAGCCATCTATTTTTATTACAAAATTGCACTTATATGCTACGAATCTGCAGTACCTTTAAATACTGATTACTTGAACAAAAACGCTGTTAAAAATAATTTAGAATGGGTATCACACGGTAAGAACAGGATTATGAATGAAGTTTACTGGAGAAAGAGATAAAAAAAAAAAACCGGATCAGATTAAACGTATCACAAACCACAGGAAGTCACAATACCTGCGTCTAAAACCTGACCACATGTGTTATTCTGTTAAGTGATGACTTTCTAAGTCTGTGAACACTTTCAAATTATTCTTTCAATTTCTTCTTTGTGAAGGCAACAAGATTAAATCAAAATAGATATATTTGTAACATGCTATAGCAGCCAATAGAGGGCGCCGCAGGACCACTGCATTTTACCCGTTTTGAAATGCATACAAAAGTATGCCCTTCAGGTAGATGCATTAATAGTGAAAATAGTCTACATTTAGTATATTTATAAAATAAATCCGCTAAAGATGCAATATTCCCACATGTCATTTTAAGTCAAAAAAATAAATTAATAAAATGGTATTTAGCCTGGTAATTTGACATATCTGCCAATTTTTTTATTCTTATAATTATTTCTGGCTTAAGTTCAACTTGTGTTCTCACAAATTTTAAGTCAAGTTAATAACGGTAGGTTTAAAAAAATATACAGAAATTGGACTGATAATCCATTACTTTGAACCATGTGTTTTTGGTTCTATTTTACAAACGGCTTGCATTTTACTGTATAAAATCCAAACCCTGTGAAGAAAAAGTTTTGAAAAATATACATACCTTGGCCTTTTAGACGGATACAAACATGTTCAGAGCTCAGACCAACGTTAAAAGTGAATTTTTGCTTTATTGTTGATTACGAAAATGAACAGGCACCTTTTACATGGAGCTTGAACATCCCAGAAAAAAAAAATATATATAAATAACACACCCTCATTAGTGTTCATCACTCACAACAACCTGCAAACTAAAAGTTCAAAACACATCGGGGAAAAAAAAAAAAAAAAATCAAAAACAAAAAAAGATAACCGAAATAACCATGAGAAAACAAACAAACAAAAAAATATATCGTAACATCCTCACTCAAATTCTAAAAACTCCTGATCCCACCTGCTGGATGAAGGCCTTTTCTGTATCTCTGCATACTTGCTGTTCTGACTGCATTTAAATTTTCTTCACAACCTTTTGTCCTCAAAGCACAATGGCAATCTACACACCCATTATGATAGGAAAACATATCCTCCAATAGATGTCTTGGTTATATAGTTGTGTGTGTGTTTTTTTTTTTTAGATAGCTGTGGCATTATCACGTTCACTCAATCTCATTCAAGAAACTCCTCCAGACCAAACCTCCCCCCTCCCGCCCCAAAAGGTTCGTATGAATTCAAGTTGGAAAATTCAAGTATCTTACCGGATAAAAGTTGGATTAGGAATGGAGTGATTACATCCTGAACTGAGCACCGCCTCTAACGGTGAGCTCTAGTGATATTAATCTGAAACACCCTCCACCCCCTCAAAAAAAAAAAAAAAAAAAAAAACACTCCCTTCAGGCTGGAAAGACTAAAAGTCCTTGCAGTGTTTGATGTCTATATGAAAGGGTAGGGTCTAAAATTGCATGCACTGTAAAACTACTAACTTTTAAATGTTTTTGTACCACCTTAAGCCTGAAGCTGACTTGTACTGTACATACCGAAATTTGCAAAAGATGCAGACTAAATTCCAGTGAAATAAAGCACTACCTTTACGATTCACCCAGACACTAAATGCATCCTATGCGGTGTTCTGTTGCATCGTCAAAACATTTTTAAAGACCTATGTACAATATTTGCAGACAATGCATTAAGTTTACAACATAACAGTCTCTTTTGGTGGAAAATATAGTTAAATTCAAAATATTTAATAGGTATCTTTTTTTTTTCTTTTTTTTTTTTTTAGATGTGATCTCTTTATTGAAAAAGTACCTGAGCCAAAACTCTGACGGGGAACGTCACAAAAGCTTTCTGAGCGACTCCTTTGTCCTCATTCGGTGCTGCTCTGGAGATCAAACGAGGATTTACATAAAAAGACAAGTAGCAAAGGAACATCAAGAGGAACCGTACTGACCCTTCAAAAAACAAACAAAAAAAAAAAACCCATTCCAATGCATCATTTAGTCAGAAAAAAGTACAAAAGCAGATTTAAAATCAAATGTTTCAAAGACAGAAAATTAAAGCATGTTAATTTAAAAAATACATAAATATATATGCATATATATTTATATATATATAATCGTACATATTAAAAAAATGAATTAATGTTCTCTTACAGACATTCTTTAAGTGGAAGAGAGGCTGCTGCACGTCTGAACGGCTGGACTAGTGACAACTGCCCCAACCTCATGAGGAGATGTGCGCAGAGGGCCTCAGATGACTGCAGATGCATCACCTTTTCTGTTTTATCCTCATTTGTACCACAGAAGGAAGAACAGCAACCAGGCGGAAGCCGAAGAAAAACAACTGTGTAATCTCGATACAGTGGTTTCAAACAATGGCGGCTTACAGTATATCTGCAAGTGACGAATAACGCATGAATAGTTCCTTTTCAAACCAGATAACTTTCACAGTGCATAACAATAAAAATAATAATCATGGGGAAAAACAACAAAATAAAAAAAATAAAAAAAACATGAAGCATTTTCTTGGGGCTTAATGGTCAGATCCCTTCTAGAAGACAATTACGTTAGGATTTTTCTTTGCAGGCCCCAACATGCATCCATCAGTCGGTATTGCACAACACAAGTACCTTTAAAATGCACCCAACGCACAAATAAAGTAATAAATCGCCTAAACTGGAATTTTTTAAATCGTCTCTCTGCGAAACCCGCTGGCTAAGTATTCTGTCTGCCAAAAACAATACGTCCTGTGTACTTCTAAATCGCGGCGTATTTTCATTTTCTATGTTACAACCGATTAAAACATGCAGCCGATTGCCCGCTTGGAAAATGCAGTCAAGAGCCTCCAGCGCATGGTGTCCGTTATTCCAGTCAAAGGTTCAAAGACTGAATGATTAAAAAGTGCTTTATGTATGTCAGTAGGACTTCTTTCTTCTACGTTTATTACAAAGTTTGTACATTAGCATGTATCATCTGTGAAGGAGGGGGAAAAAAATGAGGTTACTATCTATCTATCTCCAAACTTAAACAGGACAAACTGTGTGTGTTTGTAGAAAGTACTCACCGTGATACCACCATTTTGTTTTCTTTGGATTTTTGTTACATGTTCTTACATAAAAAGAGTTATCAGGTGGTCGTCTCTGTGGAAAAAAAAAAAAAAAAGATACATTTCAAGTTTAACGAATGCAGACAATGCATGAAGCGGTAGTCAGAATCTTTCCAGTCCTGCAGAGGTACCTTTTCTTTGCAGCTGGACAACATGCTGATAATACTAAGACAAACTGATTGCACAGAGAGGGCTGGTGACCAGTCTTCCGTCAGAATAGATAAACAGATGTGACCGTTGCTATACACATGTGGGTGGACAGGTATATTCTCTCCTGTGAACATTACCTGCACAGTTAAAAACAAACAAATACATGGGAGGTTATTAAGATAATATACAGAATGTACAAAGCTGACTTTTAACTGGTCTGTTGGTCTAGTCAATAAAATCTCAATAAAATACAGTTTTTTTTCTTTTTTTAGCTAAAAAAAGAAAAAAAAAAAGAACCAACTCCTTCAGAAAAAAATAGGTATAAATGTATTTCTGTCCCAGAAATCAATGTTAATGATAATCTATGACTTGGCTTTTTGCAACAACAGGAGGTTCTGTGTATAGATCACAGAGGCCAGGTTTGGCCAGCTTGAGAAGAAGCAACACAAAAAAATAAAAGGTCGATCAAGACAAACAAACAGTTAAAAACAGTAAGTATGTTGGGTAAAAAGAAGTCAAACATGAATTCAATCAAATATTTTTAGACTGAGAAATGAGCAGTCAGAGATAAGAAAGGCAGACAGAGGGGGAAATGAGGGTAATGAAGGGTAACAGTGAGTTCAGCCCATCTGGCACCAGGCTGGGCCTCACTGGACAGTTCCAGAACCACACGAGTTACAAATATGCAGGAAAAACTCCAGACAAAAAGCACATATTCAATATCAATGCCGAACAAAGCTCGTTTGATTTATGCTTCATAGATCTACTTTGGAGAACAAAATAGCTCTCAATAACAATTTTATTAGTCCGATGGTGCAGCCACACTTCTGCTCCTACTTCACAATGGCGCGTTTTGTAAACAAACACGCTTAACTGAGTGACTATGTTAAGTTTTTATTTACATTGAAATGAGTACAGCTAAGTTGTTGCATGTCACATGGTGTCAACTTGAGGGACTTTTATTGGAAACCTTGATTGATAAACTGAGTGTTCTCTCGGTTTACACGAAGTATAAACTCAAGGTTCATCCCCAAACCTATAAAACTTAGTTTATGCAAAGTTCTTACTGCAGCCCATTCGTCTAGTTATTGTGTTATTGAGTTATTGAGCCTGCAGCTTGGCAGGGAGCGAGATTAGCCATCTAATTGCCGTTCCAGGAGAAACGAGCAAAGCAGCTCAGCTGCAGCTTAATGCATTTCACTTTTAATCTCTTCTTCTGCCCGTCGTAGTAATAAATACAACAATGACAACATTTCCCAGCTGAAGTGCTTAAACAGAATGAGAATATTTTATTAGAACTGCATATTATTTGATTATTTTTACAACTTAGTTGAAAGTGAGCTGTTAAATAACTCTGCTACTGCATGTTTAGGACAATATCCCCCTCGCCCCC